TACCTGGTGCGGTGTGTAAACATTGCCACTGGGGAGACAAAGGCGGTCGGGCGTGGTGCTGGCCACCCACCCCCTCGTGTGCCGTACCGGCCTTCATAGGTGCTCGCTAACAGCACTTGCCCCTACAGTCTGTTAAGGCTATATGGGGGATCTTTGTGTATATGTGCGTGTGTGTATATGTGCATGTGTGTGTGTGTATACAGTGGGGGAAAAGTATTTGATCCCCTGCTGATTTTGTACGTTTGCCCACTGACAAAGAAATGATCAGTCTATAATTTTAATGGTAGGTTTATTTGAACAGTGAGAGACAGAATAACAACAACAAAATCCAGAAACACGCATGTCAAAAATGTGTTGTGGCCGAAACGTCGTGAATTTTTTTATTTTATTTTTGTTGTTGTTTGTTACGTGACTTGACCGAATAGAACCAAAAACTTGGAGAAGATCTGCAAAGAGGAGTGGGACAAAATCCCTCCTGAGATGTGTGCAAACCTGGTGACCAACTACAAGAAACGTCTGACCTCTGTGATTGCCAACAAGGGGTTTTGCCACCAAGTACTAAGTCGTGTTTTGCAAAGGGGGTCAAATACTTATTTCCCTCATTAAAATGCAAATCAATTTATAACATTTTTGACATGCGCTTTTTCTGGATTTTTGTTGTTGTTATTCTGTCTCTCACTGTTCAAATAAACCTACCGTTAAAATTATAGACTGATCATTTCTTTGTCAGTAGGCAAATGTACAAAATCAGCAGGGGATCAAATACTTTTTCCCCACACTCTATGTGTGTATATGCAAAACAACCCCCAAAACAACCCCCAAAACAACCCCCGACCTCCTCGCGGTGCCGGACGGGCAACTCTGTCGTGGACAGTGCTGTGGGGGAGGGTCAATTCCGATGGGCCTCTCACCTCATGGCGTCTGTGACCACCACAGTGGCTAAACGGTTGGCTCTGGACGTGTGCGAGGGGCTGGTAACCCCTCCACCTTCAAAAAATTAACACAAAACCACGTCTAAAATATCTAACTAATAAGCTTCTGCCGGAGCCCCCGGGGGGACAGGCGTCTATGACGTCTCCTGGCCAAACCCCAATTGGCGGAGCCAGGAGATTGAATCTCTACCCTCGGGGCTCCTCCAGAAACAACGAAAAGCCACTTCGTGTGGCCACGTGGAATGTTCGAACGCTCACTACGGAGGAGAGGCTGCCACTCCTCTGTCGGGAGCTGGACCGGTACCGCCTGGATCTCTGTGGCATTCAGGAGGTCCGGTGGACCGTTTCTGGCTCCTGCCACCATGAGGGGTGGACAGTCCTCTACTCGGGGCAGCAGACTGCCAAACAACAGGGTGTGGCTCTTCTTTTGAACAAAAGAATAAAGGGTGTGAGGGAGTGTGGCGGAGAGGTGTGGGAAGCTGTAAGCCCCAGGCTACTTTGGGCTCGCCTTCCCATCAACCGGAGGCGAGGAGTGGTGGTCGTGGTTACTAGGGGAAATCCCTCAGCCAGGAAAACATCGTAGCAAAAAGTGGGGATGACACTGCTGAGGCTGCAGTGCCTCAAATATTGGAAGAAGTCACCCCCTGTGAGTGGCTGGCTGAGGTGCCATCTGTTGAGGAAGTACTGAAGGCGATCCTGAGTCTGAGACCAGGAAAGGCACCGGGTAGAGATGATCTCCCAAGCGAAATGCTGAGGGAGGGTGGCGTTTGTGCACAGACTGCCCTATATGACATCATAACAACTGTCTGGACCACTGTACAGGTTCCGCAGGATTGGAAGGATGCCCTGGTGGTCCCCCTCTTTAAGAAGAGGGACCGCACAGACTGTAACAACTACAGGGGCATCTCACTCCCCAGTGTGCCAGGAAAGGTATTGGCAAGGATTATTCAACATCGCCTTGCCAGGCACGCTGAGGAGAGGCTTGCAGAGCCCCAATGCGGTTTCAGGAAAGGGCAGTCCTGCACAGATGCGGTATTTTCTGTCCGTCTACTACAGCAGAGGTGTAGGGAAGTCCAACAAGACCTACATCTCTGCTTTATTGACCTGGTCAAGGCCTATGATACCATCAGTAGGCCTGGGCTCTGGGTTGTTCTTCGTGCTTTTGGAGTCCCTGACCCCCTGCTCACGATCATTAAGGACCTTCATGATGGTGAGCGGGCCCGGGTAAAACTACGTGGCCGGGAGTCAGAGGCATTCCCTGTACTCCTTTGGGTGCGACAGGGATGTCCTCTAGCTCCCACATTATTTAACATCTATTTTTACCACGTAGTTCATGAAGCCTTCAATAGCTGTACCGGGGGAATCTCCAATTCGTACAGATATAATGGGAGGCTGATCGATGCCCGGGTGCGGTCAAGGGATGGCTCCCTATTGCTCAACCACGTTATGCCGATGATTGGGTAAGAGCTGCTCATTCAGAGGAGGAGTTGGAGACGCTGCTGCTGAGACTGGAGCGTGCCACTAAGAGATGGGGCCTTACCATCAGCCCCACCAAAACTAAGCACCTGCCTGGGCATTTTGTACCATCGGACACTCCACCTCAACAACTCCCAATCGGTGATGTGGCAGTTGTGCAGAGAGAGTGGAGAGTTTCCCATACCTGGGCAGTGTGCTTATGACCGGCTCCAGTTTAACAGCAGAGATCTCACTTCGAATCAGTCGAGCGGCAATATCTTTTCATCGGTTGCGTAACGCTGTGTGGAAGCTACCGGGTCTGCCGCTCCGCACTAAGCTTCTCCCTTAATGGAACATCTTCGCCGGTTAGAAACATTTAGGCGAGCCTGCCTACGATCCATCCTGGGTTTAACCAGGCTGGATTGTGTGAGGAGCTCACAAATCCTTGAAAGATCTAGGCAAGGTCCCATCGGAGAGCTCCTCCGGCAAGCAAGGCTGCGTTGGCTGGGTCATGTAGCCCGCATGCCCAGCCACCGCATGCCGAAACAGCTTTTGTTCGGCCGGATTGAGGGGGCTAAACAGGCGCGGCACGGGCTAGAGATGAGATGGAGTGATGTGGAACGGGAGGACGTGGAGTTGAGTGGACTTGCCGATGACTGGTACTAGCGGTGTCAAGATCGGCCTCTGTGGAGGAGGCTCGTGAAGGACGCTACTGGGCAGTTGGAGGCAGTCGCCCTCCAACAACAACGGAGGGCGGAGGAGCGACGCTCACAACAACGAGCGGAGCGCCGGGTGGCTAAAGCACAGCAGGTTGGCACAGTAGGGGGCACAGGTGGTGCATCAGCCAGTCATCTCAGTCAGTCGACCCGTGGCACCTGGGTCTGCCCTGTGACCTCCTGCCAGCGGGCCTTCGACACTTCACGTGGCCTCAAGGTGCACATGGCCTGGCACAAGCATCGTGGTGACGTCACCGCCACTTAGTGGCGAATGGCGGTTGTTGTTGTGTATGTGTGTATATGTGCGTGTATGTATATGTGCGTGTGTGTATGTGTGTGTGTAGAGTGGGGAGGGAACGTCATCACTCGAGGCATGCTACGGCGGTGACACGTGGAGCGGTTTAGACCGCAGGGGGCAGTGTTGAGTCTATGGTGCAGTGCTGAGTCTATAGGCAGTGTTAAGTCTATGGGCAGTGTTGAGTCTATGGGCAGTGTTGAGTCTATGGTGCAGTGCTGAGTCTATAGGCAGTGTTAAGTCTATGGGCAGTGTTGAGTCTATGGGCAGTGTTGAGTCTATGGTGCAGTGTTGAGTCTATGGTGCAGTGCTGAGTCTTTGGTGCAGTGCTGAGTCTATGGTGCAGTGATGAGTCTATGGGCATTGCTGATTCTATGGTGCAGTGTTGAGTCTATGGTGCAGTGTTGAGTCTATGGTGCAGTGCTGAGTCTATGTTGAGTCAATGGTGCAGTGCTGAGTCTATGGTGCAGTGTTGAGTCTATGGTGCAGTGCTGAGTCTATGGTGCAGTGTTGGGTCTATGGTGCAGTGTTGAGTCTATGGGACAGTGCTGAGTCTATGGTGCAGTGTTGAATTTATGGTGCAGTGCTGAGTCTATGGTGAAGTGTTGAGTCTATGGGCAGTGTTGAGTCTATGGGCAGTGTTGAGTCTATGGGCAGTGCTGAGTCGATGGTGCAGTGTTGAGTCTATGTTGCAGTGCTGAGTCTATGGTGCACTGTTGAGTCTATGGTGCAGTGTTGAGTCTATGGTGCAGTGTTGAGTCTATGGTGCAGTGCTGAGCCTACGGTGCAGTGCTGAGTCTATGGTGCAGTGTTGAGTCTATGGGCAGTGTTGAGTCTATGGTGCAGTGTTGAGTCTATGGTGCAGTGTTGAGTCTATGGTGCAGTGTTGAGTCTATGGTGCAGTGCTGAGTCTATGGTGCAGTGCTGAGTCTATGGGCAGTGCTGAGTCTATGGGCAGTGTTGAGTCTAAGGTGCAGTGTTGAGTCTACGGTGCAGTGTGGAGTCTGTGGGCAGTGTTGAGTCTACGGTGCAGTGCTGAGTCTACGGTGCAGTGCTGAGTCTATGGTGCAGTGTTGGGTCTATGGTGCAGTGTTGAGTCTATGGGACAGTGCTGAGTCTATGGTGCAGTGTTGAATTTATGGTGCAGTGCTGAGTCTATGGTGAAGTGTTGAGTCTATGGGCAGTGTTGAGTCTATGGGCAGTGTTGAGTCTATGGGCAGTGCTGAGTCGATGGTGCAGTGTTGAGTCTATGTTGCAGTGCTGAGTCTATGGTGCACTGTTGAGTCTATGGTGCAGTGTTGAGTCTATGGTGCAGTGTTGAGTCTATGGTGCAGTGCTGAGCCTACGGTGCAGTGCTGAGTCTATGGTGCAGTGTTGAGTCTATGGGCAGTGTTGAGTCTATGGTGCAGTGTTGAGTCTATGGTGCAGTGTTGAGTCTATGGTGCAGTGTTGAGTCTATGGTGCAGTGCTGAGTCTATGGTGCAGTGCTGAGTCTATGGGCAGTGCTGAGTCTATGGGCAGTGTTGAGTCTAAGGTGCAGTGTTGAGTCTACGGTGCAGTGCTGAGTCTATGGTGCAGTGCCGTTTATTCACGCAGACACACACACCACAAACACACAGACACACCCCCCCCCGACACATACACACACGTACACACACGTGCACACACGTACACACACGTGCACACACGTGCACACACGTGCACACACGTGCACACACGTGCACACACGTACACACACGTGCACACACGTGCACACACGTACACACACGTGCACACACGTACACACACGTACACACACGTACACACACGTACACACACGTACACACACGTACACACACGTACACACACGTGCACACACACGTACACACACACGTACACACACACGTACACACCTGCACGTAGTGGCGCAGCACGTACAGCAGCTCCCCGCTGGCGGCGCGGTCGGCCAGCGTGCGGTGCAGGCGCGAGAAGGCAGCGCTGCCCACCTCGCCGTAGAGCACGGCCACCGGCAGCGGCGGCGCCGGCGGTGGGGTGGTGGTGGTGGTGGTGGTGGCGCCACCGCCGCCGGAGCCGGAGGGGTAGCGGTGGTCGGCCTTGTAGAGGTAGGGGGCCGGCCTGCACGGCACGTGGCGGAGAGAGAGAGAGAGCGGCGGTCACGGAGGGTGACGGTCGCACGCGCGGCTGCGTGTGTGTGTGTGCTGTGTGTGTGTGTGTGTGCTGTGTGTGTGTGTGTGCTGCGTGTGTGGTGTGTGTGTGTGTGTGTGCTGCGTGTGTGTGTGTGCTGTGTGTGTGTGTGTGGTGCGTGTGTGTGGTGCTGTGTGTGTGTGTGGTGCTGTGTGTGTGGTGCTGTGTGTGTGTGTGTGCTGCGTGTGTGTGTGTGCTGCGTGTGTGTGTGTGCTGTGTGTGTGTGTGTGCTGTGTGTGTGCTGTGTGTGTGTGTGTGGTGCGTGTGTGTGCTGCGTGTGTGTGTGTGTGCTGCATGTGTGTGTATGCTGCGTGTGTGCTGCGTGTGTGCTGCGTGCTGCCTGTGTGTGCTGCATGTGTGGTGCTGTGTGTGTGGTGCTGTGTGTGTGGTGCTGCATGTGTGTTGCGTGTGTGTGTGCAGCGTGTGTGTGCTGTGTGTGTGTGTGCTGTGTGTGTGTGAGTGGTGCTGTGTGTGTGAGTGGTGCTGTGTGTGTGTGCTGCGTGTGTGTGTGCTGTGTGCGTGTGCGTGCTGTGTGCGTGCTGCGTGTGTGCTGTCTGTGTGCTATCTGTGTGCTGTGTGTGTGCTGCGTGCTGTGTGTGTGCTGTGTGTGTGTGCTGTGTGTGTGCTGTGTGTGTGCTGTGTGTGTGTGCTGTGTGTGTGTGTGCTGTGTATGTGTGTGTGTGCTGTGTGTGTGCTGCGTGTGTGTGTGTGCGCTGCGTGTGTGTGGTGCTGTGTGTGTGTGCTGCGTGTGTGTCTGCTGTGTGTGTGCGTGTGTGTGCGTGTGTGTGCGTGCTGTGTGTGTGTGTGCTGCGTGTGTGTGTGTGTGCTGCGTGTGTGTCTGCTGTGTGTGTGCGTGTGTGTGCTGTGTGTTGTTACATATTTCAGTTTAATTGTAAGCCCCAGGCTATTGTAAGCCCCAGGCTACTTTGGGCTCGCCTTCCCATCAACCGGAGGCGAGGAATGGTGGTCGTGGTTACTTATGCCCCCACCGAAGATGAACATCCGTGGAGGGATGCAGGCAAAGCCGATGAGTCAGATGCCTTCTATGACCTCCTGTCACAGGTGCTGGCTAAAGTGGCCCTTCGGGATAGAGTCATCATGTTGGGTGACTTCAATGCCCGAGTTGGTCATGATACTGGCACCTGGTCTGGAGTGATTGGAGGGCATGGGCCAGATCTCAATAACAACGGTAGGAGGCTGCTAGATTTTTGTGCAGCCCATGGGCTTGTAATTACCAACACGCTGTTCCGGCATCGGCGCATCCACACAACATCATGGATGCATGCCGGGTCCAAGCAAGAACATCTGCTGGACTACATAGTGACGGACCAGCGAATGCGAGCCCATGTCCTTGACACCAGGACCTACCGTGGAGCTGATCTGCCCTCTGACCATCGACTAGTCATCTGTAAGATGCGCCTGCCATTCTTCCACTCCGGTGGTGGGTGTACACCCAGGACCCCATTCCAACCTAAAGTGGCCTGGTCTCAGTTATCTGATGAAAGTTGCAAGCGAGAATTTCATCATCGCTTGCGGCTCGGATTGGCATCGTTCCCGACTCCTCCTGATGTCGAGGGTAAATGGGCGAGGTTTAGGACTGTGACTCATGCAGCTGCAATGGCTGCTTTGGGTACGCGGTCCAGACCTCCCCAGACACCCTGGCTGACAGAGGAGTTGTTCAGGATGGTTGAGAAAAAGCGACAGGCCCACTGTCATCGGCTACAGAATCCCACGTCAGAGAATGAGGAGGCTTACCGCAGCCTTCGCTCGGAGGTTCGGAGAGCCGTGAGGCGCTGCAAGGATGGGTGGTGGTCGCGGGTTGCTGAGGAGATGGAGTCTGCCTCAGTGGCCCGTGATCACAAATCTCTATTTAACTCCATCAAAAAAGTAACCTGCAGCGCCACACCTATTACCATCATTAGGGGAAAAAACGGTGATCCAATTTCCGACCCCCAGGAACAGGTTCGCAGATTTGCTGAGCATTTCTGTGAGGTCCTGGGGGAGGGAAAATCCCTCAGCCAGGAAAACATCGTGGCACAAAGTGAGGATGACCCTGCTGAGGCTGCGGTGCCTCACATATTGGATGAAGTCACCCCATGTGAGTGGCTGGCTGAGGTGCCATCTGCTGAGGAAGTATTGAAGGCGATCCGGAGTCTGAGACCAGGAAAGGCAGCGGGCAGAGATGATCTCCCAAGCGAAATGCTGAGGGAGGGTGGCGTTTGTGCACCAGACTGCCCTATATTACATCATAACAACAGTCTGGACCACTGGACGGGTTCCGCAGGATTGGAAGGATGCCCTGGTGGTCCCCCTTTTTAAGAAGGGGGACCGCACAGACTGTAACAACTACAGGGGCATCTCACTCCTCAGTGTGCCGGGAAAGGGTCCTGGCAAGGATTATTCAGCATCGCCTTGCCAGGCACGCTGAGGAGAGGCTTGCGGAGCCCCAATGCGGTTTCAGGAAAGGGCGGTCCTGCACAGATGCCATATTTTCTGTCCGTTCTGCTACAGCAGAGGTGTAGGGAATTCCAACAAGACCTACATCTCTGCTTTATTGACCTGGTCAAGGCCTATGATACCATCAGTAGGCCTGGGCTCTGGGTCGTTCTTCGTGCTTTTGGAGTACCTGACCCTCTGCTCACGATCATTAAGGACCTTCATGATGGTGAGCGGGGCCCGGGTAAAAACTACGTGGCCGGGAGTCAGAGCCATTCCCTGTACACCTTGGGGTGCGACAGGGATGTCCTCTGGCTCCACATTATTTAACATCTATTTTGACCACGTAGTTCGTGAAGCCTTCAATAGCTGTACCGGGGGAATCTCCATATGGTACAGATATAATGGGAGGCTAATCGATGCCCGGGTGCGGTCAAGGGATGGCTCTCTATTGCTCAACCACGTTATGTATGCTGATGATTTGGTAATAGCTGCTCAGTCAGAGGAGGAGTTGGAGACGCTGCTGCTGAGACTGGAGCGTGCCACTAAGAGGTGGGGCCTTACCATCAGCCCCACCAAAACTAAGCACCTGCCTAGGGTATTTTGTACCATCGGACACTCCACCCCCACAACTCCCAATCGGTGATGGGGCAGTTGTGGAGAGAGTGGAGAGTTTCCCATACCTGGGCAGTGTGCTTATGACTGGCCTCCAGTTTAACAGCAGAGGTCTCACTCCGAATCAGTCGAGCGGCAATATCTTTTCATCGGTTGCGTAACGCTGTGTGGAAGCTACCTGGTCTGTCGCTCCGCACTAAGCTTCAGGTCTTCTCGGCCACGGTCATTCCCTCCCTTCTCTACGCTTGCGAAACGTGGACCCCCCTAATGGAACATCTTCGCCGGTTAGAAACATTTAGGCTTGGCCTGCCTACGATCCATCCTGGGTTTAACCAGACTGGATTGTGTGAGGAGCTCACAAATCCTTGAAAGATCTGGGCAGGGTCCCATCGGTGAGCTCCTCCGGCAGGGCAAGGCTGCGATGGCTGGGTCATGTAGCCCGCATGCCCAGCCACCGCATGCCGAAACAGCTTTTGTTCGGCCGGATTGAGAGGGCTAAGCGGGCGCGGCACGGGCTAGAGAAGAGATGGAGTGATGTGGTACAGGAGGACGTGGAGCTGAGTGGACTTGCCGATGACTGGTACCAGCGGTGTCAAGATCGGCCTCTGTGGAGGAGGCTCGTGAAGGATGCTACTGGGCAGTTGGAGGCAGTCGCCCTCCAACAACAACGGAGGGCGGAGGAGCGAGGCTCACAACAGCGAGCGGAGCGCCGGGTGGCTAAAGCACAGCAGGTTGGCACAGTAGGGGGCACAGGTGGTGCATCAGCCAGTCATCTCAGTCAGTCGACCCGTGGCACCTGGGTCTGCCCCGTGACCTCCTGCCAGCGGGCGTTCGACACTTCACGTGGCCTCAGGGTGCACATAGCCTGGCACAAGCGTCGTGGTGACGTCACCGCCACTTAGTGGCGAATGGTGGTTGTTGTTGTTGTTGTTGTGCTGTGTGTGTGCTGTGTGTGTGCTGCATGCTGTGTGCGTGCTGTGTGCATGCTGTGTGTGTGCTGTGTGCGTGTGCTGTGTGCGTGTGCTGTGTGTGTGCTGTGTGTGTGCTGCATGCTGTGTGTGTGCTGTGTGTGTGCTGTGTGTGCTGTGTGCATGCTGTGTGTGTGCTGTGTGCGTGCTGTGTGCTACGTGCTGTGTGCTACGTGCTGTGTGCTACGTGCTGTGTGTGTGCTGCATGCTGTGTGTGTGCTGTGTGTGTCTGTGCTGTGTGTGTGTGTGCTGTGTGTGTGTGTGCTGTGTGTGTGTGTGCTGTGTGTGTGTGCTGTATGCTGCATGCTGTGTGCTGCATGCTGTGTGCTGCATGCTGTGTGCTGCATGCTGTGTGCTGCATGCTGTGTGCGTGCTGTGTGCGTGCTGTGTGTGTGTGTG